GTCTTGAATTTAGTGGCAGTAGCCAGAAGATCTTCGGCCTTCTTAAATCGTTCAGCTATTATGTAGCTGTCGAACCTAAAGAGTATAGGACAGGGATGCTTTAGGTCTTTTTTACTTAGGCGAATGCACTGACAAGGTGCACTCAAGAGATTTGCAGCCTTCAGCAATGAGTGCTGGACCGACTTAATGGGCTCGCTATCTGGTACATTATACACTATAGCGTTTTGTTTCGAAGCCAGCCTTTTAACAACTTCGCTGGATAGAAAGTCAATGGCGTTTTCTAGCTCCTTCGCATTTTCTGAGTCAGTAGGCGTCATTCTAGAGGTCATATTAAAAAGCTTTAGGATTGTAGGATCCTGCAGTTCCTTTTCCATAAGTGATATAGTTTCGGGTATACATTCAAATGAACTTAATTTCGTTTTTAATTCATCAATCTGTAGCTGCATCTCTTTAATAATGCATGTTAAGTAAGAGAGCTCTACTTTTTCAGACAGAACATCTTCCACCTGTATTACAGGGGTCAGAGTTATGTTCGAGTCTTTTCTGTTGGGTGAACTACTAATAATAAGGGGTGGTTATGTGTTATTAGACGAGCTGGTGCTATTTTCTAAATTACTGGTGTTCACACGAACACTCTTTTTAGAATTTCGGCCCATCGTTATTAAAGATCAATCAACAGTAAGCAATAAATGAATATAAACGAAAACACGTGCAAAAGCGTCACCTGGTTCGAACGTACCGGGCTATATATATAAGGAGGACGTTGTTTTTCAGTTTATTTGTGTTTATACTATTGTGTACCGAGTTGCATTGAGTTCTTAGTGCAACTGTATGTAACTGCATTTACATAAAGTGAGGCATTAGGAATGCTCCCGTTTCTAGAATAAAAACATTATTATTGTCATTAAGTTTAGTAATGAAGAATGGAATTTCTCCAACGTCAATGTTATTTAATTGAAGTTGTAATCTGTGTAAGCCCTCGGAGGAATAAATTCGGCATAGAGATATCCTATGTAAACCGAAAGTGCTTTTAGTTTAGCAAATCTTACTGACTTCCTGTATAAACTTGATATTTGTCAAGTGTATATTTCAAATCTGCTGGAGTATTCAGTAATGTAAAAGTTGTGGTGCATGATTCCAAGACTTGTTGTAGTCATTGGTATTGCCAGGATACCACTTACTCGTTTTATGCAGCCGAAATATACAAATCTCGCTTTATTGAGGGAACACTATAATGGCTGCAAAAGTATTGCGTGAGTTAATGAGTTTCATAAATTCTACAGAATGTTTTCTATTCAGTGATTACTGTTTGCGAATTATCCGAGAAAACACATTTCCAATTGGGATGTAACACAAGGCTGAATTCTTAAACTGTCATCCTTATATCATTTCAATCCAATCACACATATATCAGTAGGATAGTCTATAAATGACTTTAAAGACTTATCATCATCATCAACTTACAGTTTACTGATGAAACTGTACACCTAGACTATGAGAAGTTACCCCTGATACTGGAAAATGTGAAAAGAATACCGGTGTTTGATTATAGGTGTCTGTGTTCTATCTCATGATTGAAGCAGTATAATATGGCGATTGTTCTTGAGGTTACGCATAAAGTGTTAGGTGCGGGGGGTAAGTTAGTCTTCAAGGTTGGGAAGCTGAATAGGCTGAGATGGCTATAACACGTGATTGCATACCAAGCCATCGCCTTCCTCGAGGGATAATGTTAGCCAGCACATGTTAAGGTTCAAAATGTGTTTGGGTCGGTCGAATGAAAAACTGCTATTGGTTCATAAAATCGTTGACAGTCAGCTAGAAGAACTACTAGATATATGTCTGCAAGTCTTTGTTTATGGCACAGATGCATTCACTCTGTGTAATCTCACGTATCTATTCAACTCATGTTGTCACTATTTATTTTCCCTCAAATTTTCGCTCGTTAAACTTCCATTTAGTTTTATGTCTCTACCTTTGTGTGGTGCATGGAATGTGGTAAACTGAACAGTTGGATTTCTTTGCGAAGTCATACTGAAAGTCAGGCAGAATGACACAGGCTAGGCATAACTAAATGCGAAACACTGAATAATGGTCTCCAGAATGTCAACAAATGATAATTGCAGTTCTTAATCTTGTTCTTTGCTAAATGACAAATAAATACCTTTCAGTAACCTCTTCATCCACCCGGGATTCGTCTCCTACTTTGCAAGTGTTTTTTGTGCTTTATCACTTTTGTGCTAAGCTTTAAGTTATTCAACATATGCCGTTATTGACTAAGGACCTAGATGATATTAGTTGAGTAAGGTTTCGGTCGTGCAAACACGAGTCCTGTGCAGGTGATTGGTTGCATTATCATTTCCCAAATGGTATACAGCATACTGTATATTAGGGTAAATCTTCCGCCTTGCTTGCTGAAGGTTGTGTTCCTCAGGGTACTGTTATCTCTCCTTTTCTTTTTTCTCTCTCTTGTCTTACATGACTTTTCTCTTTCTAATGAGAGCAACTTCGTCAAATACGCTGGTGATGTGACCGTCTCACTTCCTATCATGTCACAATGTGTCACCAGGAGGACTTTATTTTTGAGTTTACTTGTATATATACTATTGCGCATCGAGTTGCACTGCGATTCCACATGTAGCAGAAGATTATGAATACCTTGCTCTTCTCTTCTGCATAAGAAAGTTACTTCACAAGAACCGCTATATTTAACTCAGTAAGGAAAAATATGAATTTCTCCACTTCAGTGTTGTGAGTCAATTTGTGAACTGTGTAGGCCCCTAAAGTAATGCATTTGGCGTGCATGCTGAATAGTGAAATCAGGAGTGTGCATGTTGTGCTAAATCTTCTGCGCTTTCTGTATGGATTCCATGTTCATGAATTGACCACTTAACAACTGCTGAGTGTTGCATGTGATGCATCTGAAATTATAACTGATAATTCCAAGAATTTCTGTCGTTTTCATCGGCAGCGGTTCACAGCCTATTGATTTTACACAAGTACAATACCCATTGCTCACTTTAATGAGGAGACATTAACTATGATTCCAGAAAAGTAGTACGTCAGTATGTGAATTTCATGAATCTGTAGATTGCATTCCGTTCACTTAATACTGAAACTAAACTATGAGGGAACTGATATTTCCAAGAATGATATAATACAAGGCTCATTTCTACAACTGCCGTCCTTATTTTAGTTCACTTTCATCATACATGTATTAACAAAATTGTGTGTCACTCACTTCAGGGACTTACCAGGGAAAAGTCTTGTCAACTTAGTGTATGCTAATGACATTGTCCACCTAGGTTGTGAGAAGTGACCATTGAAACTGGAAGATACGAAAAGACTACTGGTTTTTGATCGCAGTGTCTGTGCCCTTTCTTCTGTGTTAAGTAGTCTAAAACGGTGAGTAATATTGGGGTGAAGCTTAGTGTTAAGTAGAAATGTGACTTCAAACGTTGTTTATAACAGATGTATTCACTCTGTGTAATCTTACATATCTGAGCAACCATTGTGTTCTCTCCATATCACTGTTCGTTTTGCATGACATTTATGCTCATTAGAGTTCCATTTGATTTCTTTTTTCTCTACCTTTGTGTGCTACATGGAATGTGATAACGTAAACAGGTGCACTTGTTTGCAAGCTTCTCTGTTGAAAGTCAGTCTGTCAGAATGATCTATAGTCCAGGTATAATGAAATGCTAAAACGTGGATAAAAATAAGCAAAGTGTCAACAAATGATAATCGCATTTTTTTATTCGGTTCTCGTCTAACTGAAAAAGAGTTGTCTTACAATAATTTCTCCTCCTACTCGAGATAACTTTTACACTCTGTCCCGTTACATCTCAAAAGTTGCACTTCTCCACCGAGTTCCATGTCAAAACTCAGTCAGTCGGCTTTGTCACTGCAGCTGCCTAGTGTCACAACTCACTACAGTGTTAATTGGCATAAACAATTATGAATGCCGTTTCTTAAGTACTCAATGCATTTCCCAATTCCTTAAATTGTCCAGATAAAATGCACTGAAGGAAACATAAACCAAAAGTCAGTAACACGGACATAAGAATTAGTGCTAATAGAAGTGAATTAGATGAGTGATTTTTTAAACCTTTAGTACGCATAACTGAAATACTCATGTATCATTCACAAGATGCTTGTATCACAGAGGGCACTGAAACATAAACTAAGTCTAACATAAAATACCTTGGAGGTGTTATTACTTCATAAAATGAGATACAATAATGTACGAGATGCTGCGAATTCAACACTGAAACATTAATACTGTTTTCGAACAAAGCAAATTATTATTACTGTTGCACCTCGCTGCAGTGTTAATCTGCTTATACCCTTATTATTGCTGTATCCTAAGTATTGCACTCATTTCCTTGCACTGTGTAAATAGGGTGCAACGAAGAAGTTACAGTGAACTATAAGTAAGTAACGCTGACGCAAGAAATGGTAGCAGTCGAAAGAAATGAAATGAGTTTAAGACCTTGTAATAATACTAGTAATCTCCCTTATTCCAAAACAGTACTTGACTTATTTACCTATGCATTTTAACGTGTCTTCTAATTATCTTATTTTTGTCTTTGTAGACATTGCCTAAGGTGCCATTGTACGGATCGTCTGGAAGCAGCCTTTAATTTCATCTACCTTCCGCAAAGTTTGTCGTACGAAACGTCGAAATTTTACTTACTGTAAAACGCTACAATTGGTGTTTATGCTACTGATGCAGTGATACACAAGACTAGACACGTTATAGCAACGTATGCTTGTAATAACATTACCTACATAGTAAACGCAATGCTAATTACAAAATCTCGTCATTGTCTTTTCATTGCTTACTTATAAGAGAAAAAGTTTACCTTACTTCTCATACTAAGTACTGGAGATTCCGCCTAGTATTCACTTTTACTTGCTCTCTAGAAAATGCTTTCTACTATATTCGCAAATGACTATTAGACTTCTGTCACATGAAACGGTAAAACATAAGGCGTATGCAGTTTAGAAGTTAGGGTATATTTGCATTTATTGACACAAAATTTATGTACGTCTTCCATTATTATACAAGAAAGTTCTCAAAGTAATTCAGAGTTGCTCGCAGTGCACTAATAGTATATTCATTACTATAATTATCCTGCATAACTGCGAAGCTTCTGTTCAATTGCCTGCGAAGTTGCAGTATCTCCATGCAGGGTTTCTTCACTGAACCTTCACACGGCACACGACTTGGTAGCAACGGATCCTGCCAAAACCATCTGCGACACAGGCGAATTACTTTGTCAACTAAAAATATTAATTTAAATATTAGTAAGAGTTTGATTTACCTGTAAACTGAGGAATTTGAGTGTGACATAGCAGCATATGCCGGCAAGGTATTCTTTGTGCCCTAAATATTCTGCAGGTACAAGTAGAATTGGTATAATCCACTTGGTGCAGGTATATGCCGTCATTTATGATAGCCATATCATCAGTATACAACTCTATGTTCATCCGACGATTACGGCCATAGTCCTTGGCAATTAACTTAGCGGCATAAGGAGTGAAGTTTCCTAATATCGGCATAACTGGTTCCGGTGCGTGGTACTTACGAATCCGACAACTTTCGACGATGACTTCAACACTACGACGCTTCTCTGTGCGTACACACCATTTATACGTCTTGTACATGCATACGTGTAGGGGATCTCTTCTGTGGAGATATCGTTTTAGGTGGCTGTGAGAGCTTTCAACTCTATTGTTGGTACTATTTAACAGCAACAGAGTATTCGGCATATATGCCGCAGCCCACGTCTCCTTCTTAGGCACCCAGTAATGCCTGAAATAATTCCACACCCTCCGATCAACCATCCTAATGACACTAAGGTAGTGATGAAATCTAAACGGTTAGAAATCAATGCATTTACCTTTCAGGTGTCGCAGCTTTAACAAGACGATATAAAAACCTGCGTACAAAAGGATTTCGAGTCTAAATGCATCAAGTATTAATTACATTCACCTCACCTTCCTGCTGAAAGCCCGGCATACATGAAATGCACAGATGACGATTTTCGCCTGAATTTGACTATTACGCACGGTGGATATCTCACAGTTGGCCGAATCCATTACGAAAGTTTCTGTAATGGACGTATCCTGCATTATTCTTTGGAATTGTTCCAATATCCAAGCTACATCACATGACCTCTCTCGTCTCGTCCATGCCAAAAAAACAGGCCTGCCATGATATACCCCTACTACTTCTTAAATTCTTCTCAATATCTATGGACACTGGCACTTACCCTAATGAGTGGAAAACTAGCTTCATAATTCCACACTATAAATCCGGTGATAAGGCAATTACAGACCTATAAATATAACCCCAGTTATCTCGCGAGTCATGGAGAAAGTTGTCAAAGATCAATTGTCAGACCATCTACTTAAGGAAGATCTTGTTACAAGGTCTCAACACGGATTTCTCAAAAATAGGTCTTGTGTTACTTGCCACTTCGACTTTTTCAACTGCATCACTAGTAGTCGCGAAGCACGTAAGCTAGTTGTTGTTCTCTACTTCGACATATCTAGGGCATTTGACATGGTATCTCACAGTATTCTCTTTGAGAAGCTGTATTCATGTGGGATTCGCAATCCATTACTGAGCTGGTTAAAATCGTTTCTAAGCAATAGGGTACAAATAACCAAGGTTGGATCTGTATTGTCTCATCCTAGGCAGATCACAAGTGGGGTTGTGCAAGGTAGTGTCCTAGGTCCACTTTTATTTACAGTCTACATTAACAGCATTTGCAACTGCTTCACCTCAGGTAAATCATTCCTATATGCTGACGACCTCAAAGTCGTTTACTCCTGCTACGCTCATGAACTAAGCGATATGGTAAATAAAATACATCTTGAACTAAGTGATCTCGCAACATGGTGTACTGAATCCTGTCTAAAGTTCAACATTGATAAATGCGGCTGGATTTGTATCGGAAACAGTAACCTTGACCTGAATCTTGAAATTAATGGGCGTAAACTAGCCAAGCTCGACTCAGTCGTAGATCTCGGTATCAGATACTCTAGTAACTTAACGTTCTCTGAACAAACTGATTATGCCAGACGTAAAACACGAAGGCTCCTAGGATGCATAACTCGCAATTTCTTTTGTTGTGAAACTAAGGTTTTATTATATAAAGTATGTGTCCGACCTATTTTAGAATACTGCCCGTTTATTCTTAGCGGACTCAGACAAAATGACAAGCTTAAGTTAGAAGGAGTGCAACGGCAATTCACCTTAAGAATTCTTGGTTTAGAAAGTGGTCTCCAATACTATGAACGTTGCGACAGACTAAGTTTAGAACCACTCTGGAAAAGACGTCTTAAGCTAAACCTGATTTTTTACTACAAGCTAACTAATCTGCTCGTGCACTCTTCCGAGCCAATAATTAAACCTACCGCTGTCATCAGTTACAATCTTAGAAATCATCACAACCTAGCTGCTATAGAGCATTGTCAGACTTATATGCGGTATAATTTCTTCTTAAATAAGTTTTCAATCATTTGGAATAGACTACCAGCTGATGTGCGCGATGCAAACACACTCGCAGTGTTCATCTCCTCAGTCACCAGACTGCTCAAAGATGACAATGCACTTCTGCGTCTGAATCCTACACCCACTTTTTCGCCCAACATAGATATTTTAAGTTCATTAAACGTGTAGTTACAACAAACTACAATTATAAATTTTTATATTATTGGAAGTACATGATAGACATTTTTACACAGGACAGTAATATTAGTTCACACAATATAAAAGTTAGCATCACGGGAATAGTTAGTTAGTGCACCAAAATAACTATAATTACTAAACAGAATATAAATGTATATATACATATTAATCACTCCCTAAGTAGTCCACTTGCTTTCTTTTGCGTTGTTGTTTGTCTTCTTTTGTCTCTCACCATTTCAGCTTCCATTTAACTTTTTGAATGGGAACAAAGAATGTACATTTTCGACCATTTACAATGACAAATGATCTGCAAACATTATTGGTCCCATATCTTACAATTCCCTCGTGAATTGCGCATTGCCTTCACCAACGACGCAACCTGGATTACAGTTGTGAAATATATCTTTATACCAATAAAAAAGTATTGATTTATAATACTTCATGATTGTAACTTACAACATAACTGATTGTGTCTGCAAAAATAGCTTGCATCTCTTGAAAACACCCGTTTATAAGAAAATATAAACTGTCATTATTATTAGCCTACATTGAGTACCATTAATAATAATCATGCATTTTCATGTAAATTTGTAAATTTATATGAAAATGCATGCCATTTTTACAGGCACGATCAAGTATGATATAATATCAAATCGTAGATTGTCTACAAGTTAATCGTATTTCAACTGTTAAATATTCGATACATATAATACACTCATTTTCTGAATTAGGCCGTATAGTTATTGAATTGTACAGTTGTCCTCCAGGTTGAGCGGGAAAATCGACTTCGTTCCGTTTTCATCCCGTGGTTGTAGGCATACGATAACCAACCGATATTGAGGTAAGTACACCTTTTACAAGGGATTGGAATCTGTTTTAGAAAAATTAAAGTGCTGAGGTGAATCATTAAATTGTAATGAAATAGGTAAGTGCAAGTATCATTAATAAATGCATTAATAAAGGAAACACCCTAGGGTAACAACATTCATTTGCAATGTATAATGCTACAGATATATCACAAACTATCATGATATCCACTTTTGGTTTTAATACAATTATCCTCATGCCAGTTGTTTTTATTTTATACCTTTTTGTGCATTTAGTGCACAACCGTACCCTTCAGAGAGTAGGAGTATAATAAGTAATGAAGAGCTATAAGATGTTAAGTTTAATGGAGTAAAATGAGGATCAAGTAAAGACGTTGTCAGAAAATAAATGAGATAAGACATTGTGGAGTGGTATGAAAAGATCTGACGATAGACAGCAAGTTAATTTATAAGATGCCCCATAAATCTGAGTAGATCCCACATGGTCGCATCTCAACAATAGGCTGGGTGAATGGTATATATTTAACTTGTGATGTTACGAAGAAAATGCTGACAAAAGTATACAAGTGTATTACTTATTTTAAATTATTATCAAATTTGGATATAAATCAAGAATAAGACTCGATGCCGTACACACCAAAGTTATATGGAGGAGTTACTTCAAGCTTTATTTTTTTCCCTAGTATTTGTAATCCATCCAAAACATACTTGGGTTTTTTTGTTAATGCGAAGACAATATTTCTATATTTCTTGATGTGCTCCATTGAATGACTAGTTATCATACTGTTCCCATAGACAAAATGACTGCAACCTTATAATTTTACCATGAACCAAATTTATGTAATTTAAATAATACTTATCCATGCCTGTACAATTGGTGTGTCCTACACAGGTAGGAAAAAATGTATTTTATTAAATTACTATTATTAAATATGCTCACTAATCGTATATGTTATTTATCATATTGATGATGCCTGTAAACTGGCGTCCCTCATGTTAAAAATGAGAATATACTATTATTATTATTGTCTGTTACCACCAACTGAAACAGAGAATATCTGATTAAGATTTGTCAACCGTTTCACGTATAACCTACCCGTCCTTATTGGTATTGTATGTTGAATCAATACACTCCACCTCTCCATATTTCCGATATAACTAAACCTGTGATTCCAGGGAGAAGTAAACTCTGCTGGTTATCCCTGTATTCGAATCCACGTATTCAACCACCTAACCGCTTTGCCTTATTATGCGCATGACATCTGATCTCAAAGGCATGGCTTCAAAAATAACTTTAAACTACTTCAATTACCTGGTCTCACATCCTTACGTAAATTATACACATCTGTGCTCGTCAAAATTTTATTAAAATTCTCTTCAGCATATTCCAAAACATCACCAACCTCAGATGTAGTCTTCACAACTGGTGCAATATTCTCCTTTTCATCCCCGGACAGGCGTCTAAATTATGGATCACCTATCATAAGACTTTTTTCACATCTGTGATTGTGAACTGTTTTCGCGGAAGAAATGATAAACTCGTCCTCCTTGTAGTGTATACAAAAGCCAGATTGGCGACCGGTGTATTTTGCACTGCAGAAATAAATAATAGAACTCTTACGGTTTGACGCGTAAACCTGAACCTCTAGTTTTTCGCTTCATGCTATATGTACATCGAAAGACTACTAATTTGTACTTCAAATCCTGAGATTCATGGTCCCGTATGCACTTTTTGATTACATAATGTGTATGAGTTGCCAAGGAATACTCTGTCATACATATATACATATATTACTGATTCCAGCTGACTTAGAGCATCTTCTACTTGAACCCAACTGGTACACCGGTGACTACACATAATTCCGTCAAAAGATTTTTTGATATCCACTGATATAGGAAGGGCAGGTTGGTCGCCATTGTCTCCAAGTGCCAATGCGTCCATTCGGGTACCACTGTAAATGAAAACAGAAGCTTTTCAATAAAAAATTCATGAATAGCCAACAGGGTACAGTAAGCAACTTAAAAGAGACATTGACTTGGAAACTATAGCGGAAAAAAATATAAATTCCTTACCACAGTTGCCGTTTTGGAAAGTTCCTGATTATAGCCATAAACATTTACTGAAACACTCGTGAACGACAAATATGGACACAAGTGATGAAACGAAGCTCTACAGAAATCATTGAAACGCCACAAACAGGAGGATTTTAGGTGCACCCTATAATTTTCACATGAAACACATTCTCAAGCATCCTCCTGCACGATAACTGCCTTCAGGCCTAGAGGCAGCTTTTGATGACTATTCTCAACAAAATCAACACAGTTCAAGCCAAACAGAAACCAGAATCACTTCAAATGCAGTTACCTAGATCAAACGAAACATATCAGCCAAACTGAAATCAACTAGACCGCGCAAATGTTCTCAAGGTAAAGCTGGAGGCGCCACTTCAAACAGGGTATATGCCTTATCAACACCCGTAACATGCACCTTAGATTGACTAAGTTGTCGGATGAGTAGCATCTTTGTTGTGCTTTCATAGACAGATGCGAGAAGACTTTAATATGTGTTTTGCTGTATATTTTTGGTAGAACACGAACAATAGATTGATCAGAGTTGAGGATCAGTGCACGTTTACGTGCTTCATATATTC